TGCATCACCTCCCCAGTGCCGGGATTACAGACCTGCATCACCTCCCCCGGTTTACGTGGGACTGGGGCTGGGGGCTTCAGGCATGCTACAACAGCACCAGACCAATCAAGCTGCATCCTGCCTTGACTGCATCTTGTCTGCCTCTCTGGCCTAATTATCTGTGGGTTTTGCCCTGTGTGTCCTTTTTCTCTTTTTCAATGACTCTGCCTGAGTCTCTGTCTCCTTTCCCTCCAGCTCCCTACCTTGACCTAGCTGGCCTTGAATTTGTAATCCTCCTGTTTTCTGAATATCTGTTATTACAGCCCTGAGCCATGATGCCCAACTCCTGCCCTGGATATGCCTTCTATATGGAGTAATGCAGTAAGGTGTGTGTAGCCGGGGATGGGTCAGAAGGCAGTCTCCAGAGTTGGTTTTCCTCTTCCATCGTGCTTGAGGTAGTCTCCTCACAGTTTGTTGCTGTACCAAGTATTCTGCATCAGCCTCTAGGGTATTTGCTTTTTACTGGTCTTACTGGAACTGGCCTTACAGTTGCTTGCATTCTTCCTACTTCCCATGGGTTCCGGAGTCTTCACCTTAGGTCCCCATGGTGAGTGCTCTACCTGCTACCTTTGGACTCCATTTCCCCAGGTGTGTCTTCCACAGAAACCAGGCAAAGAAAGTATAGTCAGTTTTAAGATCTTTGTGCCTCATGGGGATCACCGTTACTCATACGTGCTGTAGGTTTCCAAGTTGCCAATGGAATAGATCTGATGTTCTGACTACAAACAATGATACCTGAGCCAATGATGTGCTATCTTGAATTGTCCCACAATGTACACTCCTCACATATCATTCTACTCCATAAAATGCATAATCATCATTTGCCCAGTTTAAAAAGAAAAGGGTAATGTGTGAGATGCTCCAAAAGAGTGAGGTCACCATTAAAGATGAAAGCAAATGCTGAGAAGTGAGAACACTAAGGAAGAGAAAGGGGGAAGAGAAAGGTGAACTACATCTAATTCAAACCGTGCACGAGGACAATACTATCCCAAACACCAGAAGTTAAAAGACAATAATATATGGAAACTGTATGAAGGACTTAAAAGGTAAGTGTATTGGTGGCACTCCAGACACATTCTTTTACTTGGAATCCTAATTCTAGGCTGGACAGCTAAAATCACAGTGGCCTACTGCAGGCCGTCCCTGAGTGAGACAAACCCTGAAACCCTCAGCCTTTATACTCTCTCTCTTCTCTAGTCCCTACACCGTGTGTGTGTGTGTGTGTGTGTGTGTGTGTGTGTGTGTGTGTTCATGCGTGTGCACAGGTTGGAAGTCAGAGGACAACCTTGGGTGTTGTTCCTCAGATGACACCCACATTTATTTATTTATTTATTTATTTATTTATTTATTTATTTATTTATTTATTTATTT